ATGGATGGATGGATGGATGGATGGATGGATGGATGGATGGATGGATGAATAGATACTGTAGCTAGATAATGTAGATATCTCTTTGAATGAGTTCAGTTTAGAGTTGGACTTCAACAGGACTGACGAGCTAACAGCTAGTCATCTGAGCAGGGCCAAATAAAGTATGTATTTATACTCAAACATATACTGGTTCATGCAAAAGCTATTTTACAAACTTTTATACCACCCTAATTTTTTTTTTTCATTTGTTTATTTTAGCAGAAATACAATGATATTCCTGCTGGAAGTGCCCCAAGCTGCACCGGAGGGGCTTCAGCTTTTTGCATTAGTAAATAACCACAGAATTCTATGTAAATAAAAATGCATTGCAAAATTGGCAGTGGTGTAAAAAGTTATGAAACATCAGTCACATGAACCACTATGAAATGTAGGACATTTAAATTGTTTTAAGATAGCAGAAAGGTGCTTTAGCCTCAGGTGTGTTCAGATTAGTGTTAGGTGTCAGTCTGTCAGAAGTGAGCTTGGTTTCTCCTCATTGAGTTCGTTCAAATGGCTATCTAAAGCAGGTAAGATATTAACTGTTTACAATGTGTACACAGAATCCTGATGAGAAATGGCTGAAATATAATCTATAAAATATAATATGTGTATGCTTTAGGGCTATCTAACTGATAAGTTGCATGAATATGTGCACTTATAAATGTATCTTGTTTAGATTGACTAGGTTTACAAAGTGTTTTACAGTTTCTCTGTGCAAGGTGTTGCCTTGGAACTGTTCTCTTCTATAAAAGAATATGAAAAGCAGTCTGCTGGTCTCAGATTTTATTTATTTTATTTTTTTATTCTGTTAAAAATTGAGATTTGTTTTAGAAAATGGAACAAATAAAAATTAGGCAACTAATGTTTCCCTATACATATTTTTCAACTTTTCCAGAACTTGAAAATACTAAAATAGGATCCATGTTGTTCCAGACCTCGTGGGAGCGCTGCAGGGGTGTCCCTGGCTCTGCCTGAGTGCAAGTGTGGAGTACGTACCTGGCTCGCATCGGCAGCCGTACTGAGTGACCAGGTTTGGATCATAATTTGAGTTGATTGCGTTGTGGTTAGCCAGCTTTATCATCTTTTTGAACGCGTCGTAGATAAAGATGAAGCTGATGAGTGCAGAGAAGCCTTCCTCGGTGAAACGTGTGAAATACTGCACGAGGAAGCTGGCGTCTGTGGCGACCAGCACCAGACAGAGAAAACCTGACCACAGGCCGATCCACAGCCGAAACTCCAGGTAGTCAAAGCCGTTGTCTCTGAGGGAGGACACATTGTGCACAGAATATAAATATTATTAATATTGCTTTCTGCCAAACAGTGAAAGGTGAGCATGTATGTTTTTCTCTTTGACTGCATGTGCGTTTGTCTGTTAGCAAAATATCTCATGAACCACTCAACAAATTTTAATGAAAATTGCAAAAAATAATCACAGCATGTACATGTACATGGCTACACAGCCAATTGACCTAAAAAAAACAGCTGTACCTCACTCAACTGTACAGATACTGACCTAAACTTTGGTGTGGTGGTAGTTGGAACGGATTCTTAAAGCATATTTTGAGTGCTAACAGTTTGCTATTTAACTATGACAACACAGTCTGTTAGCAAAATATACCATGACCCACTGGATAGACTAATTCTTGACTTTGAGGAAAACATTGACTCTACAACCGAACAACTTTTGGAGTCAAGATACACAAGGTACACAAAGATACTGTATTTTCCAGCGTATAAGACACAGTTTTTGCACAGATTTTTCAGTCCTGTGACTTATATATGCAATATAGCAATCATTTTCAGATCAACAGCTTTGACACAAAGCTGCCAATCAAATGAAAGTTGTTGCATCTAGTTTATCTTTCATGTTTTTATAAAAGATAAAATGACAGAGTGCAAAACCACACAAAGAAAATCCGTTGCCCAATAATGTTTCAGTCTGCTCAGGCTCACATTCATTCATCTTCTTGTGATTTGAATACGTCGGCAGCTACTCACCTGCTGAAATTGAAGAGGAGTCGTTCAAAGACCAGGACTGGGCCTGTGCTGCTGAGAATGGTTAGAGGCTGCCCCGCCATGAGACAGAACACTGCTCCTGTCAGGGCCGTGCCCAGGAAACTTTCTAACACGCCCTGCAACACACACACACACACACACACACAGGTTAGTGCAGGTTTCAAACATCCAGGAAATGTGAAGAGTCTGCACAGAAGAAAACTGAAGAGGTTTCACTTGTCATCAAAAAGGCCTCTTCAGCCACACATCGACTCATCATGGAGTAATAAACAGAAAGGAGCAAAACATCTTAGAAATTAAAACATTTCTTAAAGGAATCCACAGCTCAACACACATTTCATCCCAACTAAGGTTAACTGATGATGAGAAGGGATGAAGGTTAACTGATGATGAGAAGGGATGAAGGTTAACTGATGATGAGAAGGGACGAAGGTTAACTGATGATGAGAAGGGACGAAGGTTAACTGATGATGAGAAGGGA